TTCTCTTGCAGTTTCACAGTGACTTCTGAGTCGCTTTAGTCAGCATGTCTTCCATTGGGTCCTGGGTGCTGGCAAAGTGGTCGAGACCATCGTAAGGGGTCTGCTCTTGGCAGGTGAGTAATGACGAGTCTCAAAAACGAGAGTCTCAAAACAAAAATAGTTTCTCGTCTGGGCAATTTTTTTAAATGAAGGAGGCAGCCCTTTTTTTTTCCAAGATGGCTGGTTTGTCCAAAGGAGTTGTCACCCTTTCCACATTTCAACAATTTTGTGGAAACAAAAAAAAAGACAATACATTGACAACATTAGCAAATATATTGGTAATTTACGTATTTAAAAAAAAAAGGAGGGGGCTGGGAAAAAAAGGAAGCAGGCTGGTACGAGGAACTGGTTTATTTTTTTTACTTGGCCTCAAGTGTGTAAGGTTAGGGCACGTACATGTAGCTCACCAGTTTGTGAAAAAGTCCCAAATTTGTGTCTCAAATCTTGTCTCATTGGAAGCCCCAATTGATGCTTCCCAAGAAACTTGTTTAAGCTTACTTTCTTTTGTCTTCCAATGTAGAGGCCTTACCGGCTTTTCAATGCAGGCGAGCGCCCCAACGGAGCGAAATCTCAAAATACTGCAGGTACTGTGCCATGTGATTTGTTACTGTTCTTGAAAATGAGGGAGATTCTATCAAAAAATGGGGAAAAAAAGAAAAACACAAGGACAAAAATTGAATGTTCCCAAGTTGAAGTAATAGCAACTTTTCTGTAGTCCTACCTCTCGCCAAGTCCAAAAGCAAATTAGGTTTTTGCCCTTCACGGACGTTTTAAACACTGTATACTCAGTGTGTTACCTCCAGGGTGAAAGTTGAAAAAAAAAACACTCTGCGTGGGACTCGAACCCACAACCTCCTGCTTTCTAGTGCAGATGTCTTACCACTCGACCACCGAGCTAACGGGATCGGTTGGCTGGTTCGAATGATGTACATAGCAGCGGGTACCGCATAAACTATTATAAGATGGATTTTGCGTCGGGGTGATGTAAATAAAATTAGGTTTTTGCCTTCACCGACATATATCAGATTCGAACCAGCAACCGATCCCGTTAGCTCGGTGGTCGAGTGGTATGACATCTGCACTAGAAAGCAGGAGGTCGTGGGTTCGAGTCCACCCCGAGTGATTTTTTCCAACTTTCACTCGGGAGGTAACACTGAGTATACAGTGTTTATACGTCGGTGAAGGGCAAAAAACCTAATTGATTACATCACCTCGACGCAAAAGTCCAAAAGCAATTTTTAAAATCGTGTGAAATGTGTGATTTTTAAAAGTATTATATTTGTCCTTCACCCATTGACAAACTTTTAGTAAGTTGCATATGTGCAGCATGTGTATGTGGTAGTAGTTTTTCAAAAGGTCGATAATTTTTGATAGACTGGTATAGAATTTTTGCGAAAGTAAAACACAAGGGATATTGTCCAACTTCCAACTGCTCTGTATGCTTCTTCTGACGATGTCGCCTCGATGTCAGGAGCTCGGCGTCCAAGGCACCAATAACAACAAGGAAATCATCGCAATCACCAGATGGTCTTCGTCTCGGTCAAACCAAACATGGTCAGCACGGTTTTGAAGGAAATCTCGCCGGTCGTCAACCCCAACACATGCTGGTCTCGCTCGCGGCTGGCATATCGGTCGGGTTCATCGAAAGTGTAAGATTGCTATTAAAGATTGGACAATTAAATTGACTGGCGCGGGTTCGAACCTTCGAGCTCCAGAGCACCGTTCCGGTGCACTACAACTGAGCTATCCGGCCCTATGTTGGCCGTTTCACATTTCGTCAATGTTTTTGTTCAAGGGGCGCTATTAATCAGTTGGCGCCGGGATTATTTTGACATGACCGAACCCAGGCACGGGATTGTTTTCACAAACCTCGATGCCAGATGGGTTCAGGCCGTCATTTGTGGGTAGCACACCCTGATATTTCCGGCCTCGGGTTGCTAACAGATATTTCTCTGCCTCGCTCGTTGCCTGTTCATCCGTTCCGAATACAGCAAAACCTTGCATGTATACGTCATACGATGGAACTGTTTAAGAGCCCTTGAACAAAGACATTGACTGAATGAGAACCGCCAACATAGGGCTGGATAGCTCAGTTGGTAGAGCACTGGAACGGCAATCGGAGGTCGCAGGTTCAAACTCGCTCCAGTCAATTACTTTGTTAACCACATGACAGTATAATTATATGCACCTAGTCAGTTTCCTATTGTGATTTACTTGAAAGTTTAAGTTGACATTTTGAGACTTTGTAAATAATGAGTTGACCTTTGCAAACTGAATTACTTTTTTTTTCTGCTTAAAATCTTTTCGCAGATTACATTTTACGAAGGTTTTGCTGTATAACACATGACTCGCTATATGTCAGCACCTTTTCCCTATAATCACTTCTTTTAGGAAATTAGGCTTAGAGAGAATTTAAATTTTAGATTTTTTTGGTTCTATTATCAGACCTATTGAGTATGAAACTTTGTCTAACTTGAAAAGAATGACTTGCAAATTGTCAAAGAAAGTAAAAAGAAAACTTAATTAACACTTTTCAAACATCCAGACCTTTTTAGTCAAATGAACACTCACATCTGTATTTAGGAAGCACAAACTCTGACGCTTACGAATATAATGTCTTTCAACAAGATGTTTTTATGTATAAATTTGCAAACCACCAACTACCTGAATCATAGCCATTATTGAAATGTTGTTATTGTCGTGTCTGCTTTGTTTATTTGCTTTGTTTACTGTTACATATTTAAATGTTATTATTTGTAAATTCTGTAATAGTGTTGTTGTCTTGTTTTGTCTTGTATTGTTGGGCACATCCACCACAAGCTTCGGCTTTTTGGGATCATGCCTCCACAGAGTGGAAAGGAATGCTTATTGAATTGAAAAATCTCTGTATTTTCCATAACAAATTTTTTAAAATGTCCATGAATTTTTGTTTCCTACAGAAACTTCCGGTGGGAACACGCGTCATCCGGGCTATGCCCAACACTCCGTGCGGAATCGGGCAAGGCGCGACCATGTACACATCGGGAAGCGCAGTTAAACCCGAAGACAAGGCTTTGATTGAGAAATACTTTAACAGTCTTGGCTACTGCATGGAAGGGGACGAAACAATGATAGACGCTGTGATGGCCGTGAGTGGCAGTGGTCCTGCTTACGTAAGTCCAAAAAAGTAAAACTAAAGTCCGTCCCGAGGCCAATATGTGACCTGTTCTGTCAAAAGCAGACACTTCTGGGCAGATGTTTCAATTGAGCTAGGACCAAAAAAAGTGTGGGGGTTATTTTTTTTTTTTTCGATTTTCAAATTTTTGCATATTTGTAATCTTGAACATGTCTAAAATTTACTATAAAAGTTGAAACCCTAATTTGAACTCTAAATATAGTATTGTTGATGGTTATATCAGTTAAAGAAATTACTGTTTTGTGACGTTCGTGGCGTTTTCTACTTTTCCACACAATGAACTTCAAAATAGCATAACTCTGCCCAGGAATGACGGTTTCAAAAATTAAACCACCTATTAAAAAGGAAAAAGAACATATTTTAACAATATGCAAAAAAATCTCATTTTTGACCTTATGCCCAGAAAAGTCTGATTTTGACAGAACAGGTTAACATGTGGCTCATCATGCCGGTTTTCATTTTCAATTTTCTCATCCTAAATGCCAGGAATATTTTCTAGTGCCCCTGGATGGGATGCTAGTCCATTGCAGGTTACTCCCCAGCTAATGCCGCTACCAATTTATACTAGTGCAAAGAGACAATTGGGGTAAAGTGGCTTGCCCCAGGACACAACATATGGCCAGCAGCTGGATTCGAACCCCTGACCATCTGATCATGAGGTCAAAACTCTAACCACTAGACCACACACTTTAAAAGCCGAAATAGCATTTTAAAAACTGTTACCCCCGTCATGATTATAGTTCTTTCTGGATCCCTGCAATTGCAAAACACATTTTAACTTAATCTGTCACTTGAGAATTTGAGCGCAACAAATAAAACACCCGGGCCAATTCTTAAAGCAGCAAAATAGAAAAAATTATTCTCAGCAAAAGTTGGCGTTAACCAGCCAAAAGTAACATCCATTGCATGGCATTGTGGTTGGTATCCTGTTTTTGCTAAGTTTTTGTTGAACTGTGCTCACCAATTTCGGCTGTGGGGTAGTAGTGCAACTTGAAGCTACAGTCCATCATTTGCAGCTATCCAAAAAGTAACTGACGTAATTATTGATGAAAAACATACTTTGTTGAAAGATAGTAAGGGGACTAAACTCCCTGAGAAATTATTCTTTCTGGCAAGCTGCCATTTTGAAGAAAGGAGGCCTACACAACGTTGGAAAATTCCTGTTAGTAGTTCGTTTTTTACTCGGCGAGGCGTGCGGAAGTGTTGACACGACGCGCATGCGGTTGCTATAAATCGTCGGATTGGTGCGCGACATCGCGTAGCTGCAATCGGCGCAGTGAGAACGTGTCTCGGACGCAAAAATTCAGGCCCAATTCAAAGCATGATTCAGCAACTTTTGATTTGAAATTGAGATCCTGGAATGTTGTTTTTCTAGGAATATGCAGCTGAAGCTGAGCTGAGCTGAAATTTCATCAGGTTAGTTGTTCAGCACACTTCTTTAGATTTTGAGCACGTTGTTGCTTCAAACGGACAAAATGCACAAATTACAAATGATGGACTATACCTGTAAAAGACTTAAATTCTCATATGTTACTGTTGACATTTAAGTTTTCACATGTGCGTGGATAATTGATTCATTATTTGTGACTTTGCAGGCTTATATTGCAATTGACGCATTGGCAGATGGCGGAGTGAAAAATGGGTCTGCCACGGGACATAGCCATCAAGTTGGCTGCACAGACGTTACTGGTGAGAACTTACGAGAATTTGTGTATTTTTGTTTGGTCCTGTTTTAATTATTTTCATAAATTTTGCAATAATGATTATCGGGCAGAATACCACTATGTATTTATGATGTACATGTGTATTATTTTAGAAGAAGTGCAACGGACTTTTACTCAGCAATTCATGATAATACATGCAACCTTTTGATTTAATATTTTTAAAAAATGATGTTAACAGAAGCTCATTAGTCTAACCATTGGCTTTTACTAGTTCAGGTAAATTTGCTTTTGAATTGATATATGTGGCCTGTCACTGGTAAAAAAGTCATTTTGTTTTGTATCAACACTTTTCATCACGGATGAAAAATATAATGACCAGCATGTGAGTACAGCATGCAGGGCCCTTTTCTTGTTGGGGTAAACTGAGCATGGGTAATTTGAGCATGGGATGTTTTCAGACTGGGGTCTTATTTCTGCAGTTTTATGTTTGAGGGTGAATCTCATCCCAAGGGTAATTTCAGCATGAGAAATTTCAGCACAGATAACCTGAGCACGGGTTGTCGTAGCAAAGGGAATCTCAGCACAGGTGCTGCAGTGGGCAATCTCAGCACAGGCAGATGTCAGTTTCAGAATGATCAAAGACTAGGAATTAGTAGTGTCAATATAGAAAACCTAGACTGGGAAAACTCAGCACAGAAGATTTCCATTGGTGGTAATCCCAGCATGAAATAAAAACCTGGGTATTAATTTCGATCTGGAAAATCTTTTATCGTGCCATGGGAAATATTCTGTTTAGCTTCCGAGAATTGTTTTTGTTTACTTTTGGTAAATGCAGCAAATCTGACTTCAAAATCTTCTCAAATTTCTGAAAACAGGCCCCTTTAAAACATTCATTAGCTAAAATTTTCTTTAAAATTACATTAAGTTTTAACCATTTGGTGTCGGGGGCCGTGTTAATACGCACTGGCTGTTTATATACACAGGACGGCTGACGGATGAAACATCAAGCGTGCCTCGACTGCCTCCGGGTGACGTCTAAACACGCTAATCCCTCGTGTCTTTTGTACACACACAAAGACCGCAAAGTCTGGGATGCGGACCATGTGTTGATCTTGAATTGGCCGCTGTGCACGGCCTATTGTGCTTCAGTTTACGCTCTGTTGCACACCCGGGAGTGTTGAAAAGTATGAGGTTTCGGCAAGAAATATATTTCAAATACTGTTGAAATGAGTGTTGGGAATCAGCATTTGTGGCGTTTGGCTGTATATCAGAAGTTGGCTGGAAAAAAATTTGCCTTTTGCGAAAATGAAAATTTCCGGCAAAAATAAACCTAGCGCAAAGTGGTTAAGAATGGCCTAGATGGATTTCAAACTCCTGCCTCGTTTGTATCTGAAATGGTTTTTCATTCTAGGGATCGGCGAAGCTGGTCTTGCAAGGCCGAAAGCATCCGTCGGAAACTCAAGACGACGTATGCTCTCCGGGGGGCACGACCATCGACGCCATTCACGAGCTGGAGCGGGGGAGGCTTCCGGAAGTGCCTCATCGAAGCCGTGGAGGCGGCTTGCCTTAAAGCCAAGAAACTGAACACTATGAATGCTGAAAATAAATGATGAAACGTCCGTATTCCTTAGGAAAATTGCAGAAATGATGGAAAAGCGACCTCAGGATTCTGACAGATTTATTCAGGATTTTCCCACACTTTTCCAAAGATTTCCCATACCTTCCCAATGATTTTCCAAACATTTCCAAAGCATTTTCCCACACCTTTCCCACATTTTCCCCCAAGGATTTCCTATAAGCTTTCCTAGATTTCTCATACTTTATTTTCCAATCCCTTTTTTTTTTACTTTTCCTATACCTTTAAACACATTTTTTCGCCCAATGATTTCCTATGTTTCTTTGACCTTTGTTTTCCCAATGTTTTTCCGTACTTTTTTATATATTTTTTTTTTTTTTTTACTTTTCCCATACTTTTCCCGTAAATGTTTTTTTCAAGACTTTCTATACTTTTCCTGACTTTTCCTGTACTTTCCCACACCTTTCTCAAACATAGCTTTTTTCAAGACTTTCTAATACTTTTCAAACACTTGGACTTTTTCCGATAGGTTTCCTTGGTCAATTAAAGAGGCTTTCCGTGAATTTTTTAAATGCTGCATTGGACATTACCAGGGGAAAAATATAATTCCGGAACTTTTTAAGAAAATCTTGTGTATAATGGGATATTATTAGACATATTCTCCTTTGAAACTACAAAATGTTAATTTTGCATTTTCAGACATGTTTTGAAATATAGGGTGGATGGCCTTCTCAAACTTGCCTATATATACCAAGTTGTATCTTTTTGAAATAAAGATCATGTAACATTGAAAGTTAAAGCCGCCAGTAAGACTGATGAGTTTATGTATTTAAATACAAGTACATGTCGTCCTTTTATTTGTGTTATGAAAACCTTACCCACAGTCATTGGGCAGATATGGTTGGAAAACGATCACGGTTTTCAATTTTTCGACACTGGTAAAGGGAATGTACAAACATTTGCTTTTGCTGCAATTTCAGAAATAAATGGATTTGGAGGATTAGTATGTTACAGCAAATATTGTTAAAATCACTTGTTTCACGTTTTGGGCTTGTATAGATGCTGGAAAACTAAGAAACCAATCATTATAAGATGGAATTTTGCGTCGGGAGGATATAAGTCAAATTAGGTTTGACTTATATTGACTTATGGTAAGACATCTGCACTAGAAAGCAGGAAGTCGTGGGTTCGAGTCCCACCCGAGTGATTTTTTCCAACTTTCACTCGGGAGGTAACACACATGAGTATACAGTGTTTAAAAAAAAACGTCTGTGAAGGGCAAAACCTAATTTGACTTAAAACCAACCGTGTTCTTCTAGTCTGGTTTCATGACCCCACTTCAGATGAAACAGAGCAATTTATAGACTTTGGGAAATTGTAAAGGTCAGAGAATCAGTCTAGCGGGCTTGTACCCCTGAACAGGTGTGTTTATCAATTGCAAAGAAAATGCGGAATAACCGAATATGAAAAATAGGAGCAGTTTTTGAAAAAAAGCCAGTTTTCTCCAACGCTGGTTGGCCGACCAGCATTGGAAAAAATACAATTTTTCTTGAAAATGTCAGCACACCAGGAGCACGATTTTACAAGATGCCTTTAGACTGTCATTCCCTAACAATCCAGTAAGGTATTTCGTGATAAATTTGATCATTTCGTATTGTGATGTTTGCAAATGTTGTATCTTCCCTTTAAACTATTTGCTGGGATCTGTTGTTAAATATAAAAATATCAGGTATTTTCTTCCAGTGTGCTTTTTAGTTAATATGGGCTTGTTTACTGCAACCATGTATATTAACATAGAGGTAGTTGGAGGCTTTTGCAGGATTAAGGTTACAAACTACAAAAATGTCTAGGAAGTTAGGGTTGAACACAAGAATCACATGAAATAGAACAAAGGAATTTAAAAAAAAGATTACATTTTTACTTTATTTCTGAAAGAATCAAATAATTATAATTGTTGGATCATTCAAAGTATACAAAATCAACCAAGTTTACCAATGTTTAATAAAATGTTACATATACAAAGTTTTATTAATTCAAAACAACATTTTTTTGTTGGTTTTAATCAAAATCAATAATGTACCACAGACATGCCTGCTGTAAAATTGATATTGCAAACCAAATTTATTGATTAATTTATGCGTGGATTTTTACCATAATATTTTCTGTTGCCATTGCATTTACTTTTGTTTCGGTTTTTTTTTGTTGTTTTTTAATACTGTAAGGCTGTTTTCAGGTGTCATATTATTTTGAGTTGCTAAATAGGATATGTAAATAAAAAAGCTAAAGCATTGTGTTGCTGAACTGGACATTATGGGGTTAAACAAATGTTATTGCTTTTTGTGGAAATAACGCCTACAAGGATGCATAATTTTAAAATAAAACAAATTTACAGAAAACATGTTCCTCCACTTTTTTCTCATTTCAATTTTGTTTTAATAAACCCATTAAAGTTAACCTCTGAAAGTACCCAAAAAATCACAAACATATTTTTGTGATATACATGTATTCACCTTTAAACCAATGTTATGTAAACATTTTGTTATGCAAATTTTTCAAATTTACAGGTATTGTGTTACTGACAATATTTGTACAA